TGTGTAAACACGTGGTTCCGGTGGGGTGGCAAAACACGAAGCAGCGAAGCTTCAACACTGTAGTTGGGACGCGAGGATGATTCACTTTGTTCCAAATTTGAAAACAGACAAGCAGATTAGGAGTATTGTTCATCGGATGAGCAACGATGAATTTTGTGGCGTAAACCCCTGGGAGTTTCAGTGAGTAAATAGCCTAAGCCACGCCCCCTCTCTCGTTGGTGCAAAGACCAGCCTGCACCAACCAGAGCAAGGAAGCACGAATCTGACCATTTTTTAATGGTCAGATTCGTGCCCAATCAACCAATTTCAAATTTGGCCCTCTAGCGGCCAAAGCTGATTAAAACTGTACAGGGTCCCTGTAATATATCTTCGAGACTTCAATCAGGTACCTTCGTAACTTTTAGTGCTATCATAAAATTAGTATCTTTGGTAATTCTTTACCCTACAGTCTGCTGTGGCACGCGCACACGCCCGCGCGCAAGGTACGTGCAGCCGAAAATCGCATATTGGTCAGCCATGTTGCCGAACTACCATCAAAGTAAAAAATGAGTTTCAAAATGACGTTGAGAAAACGGCGAAAATTACATTTTTTCAAATTGAAACCCCCAATTTTGATAATAATTTTATCTTATTCAGTATTAAAAATAAGGGTAAATTTATGTAAAGTTGTGTATTACAAAAAGAATGGGGTAAAGTTAAATCATGAACTTGTGACACATTTGCCATTCAATGCCCACAAAAACAAAAACCTTCACGCTGTGCTGTTAAACAAATTGAACAGTGCCTATTCAATTCATAAGGGCAACCATAAAAATTAGAGAGCCCTAGATTTAAAGAAAAAAACGGCTTTATGTCCTTGATACAGGGGCGTGCGGTCCATGGAAGCAAGGAAACATTGCTTCGCCTAGAATTCTCTAGAAGTCGACCAACCGAAAGTTTAGAAAAATAGTCTTATTATTTTATTTTATTCATTGTGTAATAAACCGCAAAATTCTTACTAAACGGGTCGAGCCTCCATAACAAATACGCTCCTTAAGTGGTGACGTCACAAATTAGACAGATTCAGAAACTGTATCTAAGCAAAAAACACGAAGTTTTCAAAGTGTGCTGATTATCTTAACAGTGAAGAAAAAGAAGCATTCTAAGGTATGTATTTGCATTTAGGAGTGTCTTAGCAACGATTCTACATTGAAATCATAACGTAATTATTAGCAGTTTTCTTTATTTTCGACGAAAATGTCTTGGTAACCTCAAACTTGATGTGAACGGATAGCAGGTTTCGTATTACTAACTGTGTTAAAACCTGTTATTTGTATTTAAATGTTATAGAATAATGGTTATGTGTTGGGCTCCTGAATATACAAATTATAATGATCGTGAAAATGTTCGTTTTTTCGTTTTCCAAAAGACCCACCCACACGAAATCGATGGGCAAAGTCGGTACGCTTAGTAAATCTTTTGTTGTTGTTGGCATACCGTATGTTGTACTTGAAAATGATTTGCAGGTGAACTCTATAGATCCTGGTCCTGGTGCCTTTGTATGCAGTTGTCATTTTCTTGATGGAAATAATTAAAATGGCCCTATACAGCTCTTGGTCATAAGGTACTGTAGTAATACAGTACTTATCGCAAAATAGTTAAGGCAACGGAGTCCCGAAAAATTAGCAGAACGAAAATATCTGTCGGAGCTGAAATACCAAGCTACCACTTGAGTACAAAATAACTACAAATTCCTGTAATTTATATATAATCACATGCATATAAACATAATTTTACAGACCTGAAACTGAGCCACAACTTTCGACTTCGACGGAAGGTATTCCTGAAACCTTTAAGTCTATAGCACGAACTGATGCTGAAAATGATTTTCTCCAATAACTACAGGAAGTGTCAACAGAACTTAACAATTTATCTGAACGTTTTTTAATCGAAAGTATAAAAGGAAATGGCATCTTAGTATTTATGTATTTTCCTACTGATGCAATATTTAAATGTTTGTTTGCATGCAACAAAAAGGTAGTTGTTGATAGAGACTCGATTATAAAAAGGCACAAATAAAGTATCGTAAAAAACACCCAGTGGTCGTCATTATAATTATAAAATAAATACAGTCCACTTTGAGTGCCAAATAAAGGCATTCCAAAATACTGGCTCTCACATCTTTAAGTCAAGTAGGCGAGTCTTCGGTAGCGAACACTAGCTCAATGACATTGCCTCTCTCTTAAGAGTTTTCACCCCTCTTTAACTATGCACAGTCTTCTTTAAAGCAATCCGCTACAGCATAAAATTGTGCCACGTGACCTGCAGACACTGAAAATGTTAACTTATCATTAGAATCGAGGAACTAACAGGTCGGGATGTGTATTTAATCCACAAATTGTCTGCAAGGCATATAGACATTCGTATCCAACAGCAATCAGCTGTTAGAAAACATAACCTGCCGGTTGAAAAACGTTTAATTTAAGGAAAAGTAAGAACGATGTATCAAATGTAGTCAACAAAATAGTTCCTAACGACAGCAGTACTTCCTTTTTTCTAATATTAATGCTTAGAACCTGCAGATTTCTAGAAAAATACAGAATGAAACTAGGACCAATGCTAAAAAGATACGACAATTCATTTGTGTGTATAGAGTCCTTCGGCGCGGGCATCGTCTGAGGTCAGACTAATGGAGCGTAGTAGGCAATGGAAATACCACGGACTGGATAAGCAGTTGTGTAGATTAAATACGCACTGTGCGCATTCACCTTACGTTTGATTTTGCAGTTTGTGGGAATCCAGAGATAGTAGTAGGAGTAGTGGTGGCAGGAAAAGTGTATTTAAAGATTGCTTCTCTTGCCTAAAATTTCACCGCACGCCTCTGTCTGGATATAATTACGTATTATTGATACAATAATAATTAATAATAAATCAACGGTTCTTAATATAACTGTATCATATTATCTATAATTCGGCAATAAATAAGTTTACGTAATCTTTGTTTGTATAATTTATGCGTCCGGGCATAACTATTAATTATTTGCAAAAAGTAACTGACAGCTATAACCATTCCTTTGGTATTTGTTGTATTCAAAATGGCCACTTTCGTCATGGCAACTAAGAATGACAGGATTTAAAAAAAGATGCTGCAAAATAGCCATATAAAAACATTAAATTGGCAATATTTCGAAAACTAAACACTTTTGGAATAGACAACCTTACACAAAATTACCCTTATTTTTAATACTGAAAAAGATGAAATTATCAAAAATAGAGGATTTGGAAAAAACAATTTTTGGCGTTTTCTCGGTCATTTTGAAACTTATTTTTTAACACTTCGTTTTAATAGTTTTCTAAATGTTGTCGAAATTCCATTAAAGTAAGGCCTTCTCGACAAGAAATGCAACTCAAATAAATTTGAGTCTCTACTTAAGTAGACCATATTCGCTTATAGGAAAAACTAATATTTATTCGAATGGCTGCAGATGTAATTTTTTACATAAATTTTCAAATATTTCAAAAACGGTTATTATTAGGAATAGGAGATTATACATTAAATATACAGGGTGTCGCAATAAGGATGGTAAGCGGCTGTATCTTGGAAAGTATGTGTTGTAGAGTGATCGAAAAACAAACTTGAAGAAAAGAATTTGCGGGAAATTATTTTTTAATTTCTCAGATGACCACTAGATGGCGTAATTGCAAACGGTATTTTAAAAAGTCGATTTTATACAGAAATTGTCCTATAAGTGAAACATTTAGTAAGTTTAGTCAAAATATGATAAAAAACCGTACTACTTTCCTTATGAACTTTTTGCCTAACTTGTCAAATAAAGCGTGGGGACTCCCCAAACTAACCCAAACCGCTTAATTCAAAGAAACCTGTAACTCCGAAACGGCTTCACCGATTCCAAAGTTTTTACTATTAATTGAAAGAGCAATAAAAACTCTACAATATGTGATATAACAGCAATCTTAATCATTTTCGAAAAATCCGCTGTTCGAAAAAATTTCTTTGTTTTAATCTTTCACAAAAATTTGAAATACAACCATGAAGTTATTTTACACGCATTCGAAAGCACAGAAAAAAATGAACCAAACCGCAAAAACCGCGCCTTAAAATAATTTCTGTAATCGATTTAATACTTAGAAATAATAAAGGTTGCCTAATTCAAATAATTAAAGTAGGCTTGGGAAGAAAAAATGTTGTTTTATTTTGTTGTTGTTTTTTCCATTATTTTCAAACTTACTAGATGTTTAACTTATAGGGACAATTCCTACTTTAATTATTTGAATTAGGCAACCCTTATTATTTTCAAGTATTAACTCGATTCCAGAAATTATTTTGAGATGCGGTTTTTGCGGTTTGGTTCATTTTTTTCTTTGCTTTCGAATGCGTGTGAAAATTATTTGATGGTACCGGAGAAAAACACCGAAATGTTTTTGTAATACTTTAAATGGTAAACAACAAAATTGACTGGAACCCAGGAATTACTTTTGAATAATCTTTTGACTAAACTTACTAGATGTTCCACTTATATCTGGACAATTTCTGTATAAAATCGACTTTTTAAAATACCGTTTGCAATTACGCCATCTAGTGGTCATCTGAGAAATTTCGAAATAATTTCCAGCAAATTATTTTCCTCAAGTTTGCTATCAATTTTTTTTTTCGATCACTCTACAACACATACTTTCCAACATACAGCCGCTTACCATCCTTATTGCGACACCCTGTATTTAGAATATGGAGTAGAATTCACAACAGTAGGTAATAATATATATAGTGTTCCATTTAAAATAAGTAAGTTGATCACACACTACTCACTGTTACTACATATTAATAAAAGAACGATATAGTCAACACTCTGTACCCCACAAACATTTTTATTCTTATGGAACATACTGTATTAATTTACCTTGAAAAATCCTCCATGAAAATTAGGAAATCGCAATTAGCGATAGCATCATATTCGCTTTTCACAATCTCCAAAAGTGGTCTATCTCYAAATATTGCTAAAGAATTGTAGTACTCTTCATAATCTTCCAAACACTTCTTGTCYTTTTGTAGTTCGGTWCTTTCAATGTCTTGTTCAAAGAGTTTAACATAAAACCCGTCGCCATTAAGCAAACATGGAATTTTGAGAAATTCTTCCAATAAATAAGCCAGTTCGCCCAATTCGCTCGAGTTTAGGAATATGCTTATCACCATATTATATTTCCTGTGCTCCTGGGATTTTTTAAATGCTTGCTCTTTAAAAAACTATCGGAAAAATATGGGGTTTGCGATGTGAACATGGTGGGTTGTAGATTTTTTTACCGCTAGATTGTCTTGAGCCAATTTGGCTAAGTCTTCTTTTGGAATGCAAGATTCCAATCCATAATAACAATAGCAATACTCCCAAAACTCTCCCAACCCACCTATTAAGTAGGGTTTGCCACCCCACATACTGATTTCCTTCCAAATGATTGGGCCTTTCACCATATACCAGCTATGTTTCGTGTTCAAGTCTGCAACAAAATCCTTCAACAAAAAAAAAGTTCTCTTAAAATGCCCTTTAAATCTGAATTTGGAAAAGTATTCATTACCGGCCAGTCTCGTTTCGACTTTTCAACTTTTTTGTACTTGAAATTAGGCAAATGTTCAAAAAGGTTATTGAGCTACGTAACAGGCATGTGCGAAATGAGGACAGTCGGGATTTCCGCAAATTGCATAAAATGACATTTCAAAATTGTAATTGAAATGTCACGTATTTTATAAATTTACTGTGACAATGAAATCTGGTTTTTATTTATAGATTTATACAAGGTGATTCAAAATTGGCAACATTCTTCTGGAGGTGTTGCAAAAACGAAATCATAAGTTTGACTGAACTATACAGGGTGATTCACAATCTTATGGACACAGAGCAGGGGCGTGTAGAGAACCTCAAAACAAGTCGAGTTTCCATTTAAGTTTTTTTCGTCAGGCCCATGGTTAACGAGATACAGGGTGTTAAAGTTTTTAAAAATATTGGTATTTTCTCTTTAACTCCTACAGTTTGTGCGATATTTCGCTCAAATTTTGAACGTAGGCTACCCTTTGCCCGTAGGCACAGCATAAAGATTATACAGCAGCGTCACTCTCGAGGCGGCACTTTGAACCTTTTACGTTTTCATTGACTTTGAAAGAATATGATGTTCAGCCATTGAACTGTTTTCAAACGATAGAAGGAAATAAGCCAGGACCGCATTGCACAGTTGTTTTTTGTACATTGTAAGAGAGATAGACTTTCGAGGCCATTCCTTGAAACTAATGGGTTTTTAGGCCGTCGTTGGGTAGAATTCCTTCTTGACGTTTCGCAAGCACGAGTGGCTTGCATCTTCAGAAGTGGTTTGCTTGAAGGCTTACACTGTTCTGATGCGATTCCTCGGGGGCAGTTCGTATTTATGCACCGGTTGCGCTGACGTGGTTTGTGATGACGTAGCCTGTGCCATCGGAGCATGCGCATTCTGTTGGCGGTTGCTATCCTCCGGTGTACTGGATCTCTCCTGTCCTGAGCTGTTGCTTTTTCTTGCTGTTTTTGCGTTGGTGAGTGCTGGAAACCATATCTTGTTCAGCGCCATTGTCTCTTCTTTTCTGTTGAAATTGTCGTCGTGTTTGTAGATTTCAATGGCTTCTCGTATTAGTCGGGGGCGATAGCCTGTTGTTGTGGCCAGGATCTGTGCCTCTCTGAAATAGATGTTGTGTGTTCCATCGCTGACGGAATGTTCCGCCACTGCTCACTTTCCCACATGTCCCAGTTTACAATTCCGTCGGTGTTGTTCTATTCTCGTCGCAACCGATCTCTTAGTTCCTATGTAGACTTTTCCACAGGAGCATGGAATCCGGTAGATTCCTGCAGATGCGAGGGGGGGGGTCTCCTGTCTTTTACTGACCCTAGACATTCTCGGATCTTTGTTGTCGGCTTGTAGACTGTTCTTATGTTGTGTTTCCTCACGAACCTCCCAATTATGTCCGTAACCTTGGGAACAAAGGGCAGGAAAGCTTTCATAGTGGATTCACTTTTTTCCGCAATACCTTATGGTCCAAACGACTCCCCTGCCTACACACCAAAACACCCAGGAAGGCCAGTTGGTGGTTTTGTTCAACTTCCATGGTAAATTGGATCTGGGTGCGGTTTGTTTAGATGATCGAGGAAGATGTCCAGGTTTTTGCGTCCATGCCTCCATAGCACGAACGTGTCATCGTTTCTTCTTTTGTCTCTTCGTTTCCTTGCATGCTGTTCTTTCTTATTCCTTCGATCTTATTCCAGTCAGCGTAATGCAAACAGTTTTCCAGATTGTCGAAGACGTTTAGAAGTTCGCTCTCTGTTGCTGCTAGTTTACTTCTCACGTTGTGGATCCTTTCCCTTAGGAATAACTTCTCGGTTCTGTTGTATATCCTGTGTCCTTGCGTGGTCCTAAGGGTTCTTTTGCACTTCAGCAACCGGTTGCAAAAATCTACAGGGTGTTTTTTCTCGAGGCATACCCCACTTTTACCCTCTGAACTTTTTTGTGGTGTGCCACTGACTTCGATCGAACAAATGTAGGAATTTGTTGTTCATTTAAAAAATAATAATTTCTCTTGCAGTTTTTTCGTATCTGCCTTCGTTTTCGAGTTATTTGCACAATAAGTCCACCTAGGGTTTTTAGGTGATTTTCTATGAATTTTCTTATACATTTTTTTTGTGTCCTTTTATTCACATGGTTTTGTGAAAGCTTGAAGTGTTGAAGTTAAAATAGAGATGACTGACGAGTGAACTTTAAACTTGATTTTTTTTACTTTAACTTAATTTACACTAACTGAGGTTTATCGGCTGTAAGCTATTCCAAATAAAAATTCACAAAAATGTAACAAATATTTCGATTAGTTATGAAATGAAAAATTACACAATTCGAAAAAGTCTTGATCATCAAAATTATTGAACCTGTTCTCCATTTCTTGATACATTAAATCCAAAATTATCCAACATTATCAGTGCGTGTTTGCTTTCTTTTTGGGACAAAACTTCTCTATCATGATATTCCAGCATTTTCAGTCATTTCTCTTTTTATTAATAGAATTTTTAAATTCGATAATTTTTTTGACACAGAACCCAATATAATTTGTTTAGCACGGTAATAAAGTGAATAGGTTATCGCAGACAAGAAATACAGGGTGTCCGCTGTTGGAGATCAGCAATGGGGGTCTCGGTAACCATACTAGAATCGAGATTGGTTAAATTAGGGCAAAGTCGCGCAGTCTAGAGCTTACTAAAATGCTCAATAAAAATTTAAAAAAATTCTGCTACTTCTAGATATCCAGAAAAAATTGAAATTCTAAAAAATAGTTTTTATTTTTTCCTTAGCTTATTTGACGCGCAAATTGTTCTCTTCTACAACGTGGCGATGTTGTATCTAAAATCCGACTTATGGATTCTCGACAACCATCATCAACTTTGTTTTTTATATGGGTGCCATCTTAGATTTTTACATGTTTGAATTCAGCTTTTCTTCTGATTACGATAATGTCACATGTTAATGTTCAGTTTTGCTGTTTGGTGAAAATAACAAAAATCCTGTTTTTGCAAAGAGTGGTTTGGGCACCCATTCTTTTATTTAATCAATAGATTTTAGACTTATTTTTTGATAATAACTATAAAAGTATAAGTTTACCACATAAAACATCAGTTTTCGTCTATAGAAATTAGGCCTGGATAACACTGTGTCGAGTTGCGCTTTTGAGTTGATGCCGCTCTATGAGTTGGTGAGTTATAACTCATCGCGCCTCAATGTGTCGCAACTCGAATTGAGCTTGTGGCGGAATAATTCTTGAAATCAGAACTTTTAAAGGACATTTCTAATTACCAAGTTGAAATTTCGTTGGTTTCTATCATCGATCGGAAATTGAGCAACAGTTTCATTTTTAAGTGATTTATTCGCAGGTTTTTTCTTTAGTCAATATTTTTACAAAAACAGAAGTAATTCCGTTATTAATTTTATTTTTGTCGTTGTGTATTAATCACAGATGAGTGAAATTCGGACAAATGTAAATGGCTCTAAATTTAAAGTTAAAATAGTAAAAGATCGGGATAGGTTGTTGACTTTCGTTAAGTGGGAACCTGAAATTTGCCTTTGGAAATATTGCCGTGCGAACAGGCACTTTCTACAAAAATGCCAACAATAAACAAACTGAAATCGCACTGCCAAGTAAAGCATGAATCATTCAAGGGCGAAACTATGAACATTCAATCATGAAACGGCAAACAATTAAATGATCATATAATCATGTTTATTCTGTGGTTCGGTGTCTTTTTTCTCGAAAAAGTGTATGAATGTTCAGCTTGCTACCGACAGTATGCGAAATTGGTCGATAATCGCCTTCTTAAATGGGAAATATTGACCCTTATGGTTATTATGGCCCTTATGGCAAGTCCGATAGTTTATGAGTATAGTAAACTTGAGGATTAATAGGTAGAAAATGGAGGATGGGGTGCCAGCTTGCTAAAAGCTGGTAATAATGATCCCTAATCTATAAAGCTTTTAGCTTGAACTTTTAGTGAGTTTATTGTTCCAACAAACAACTGAAGTTTTATGGTTTCTTTATATTTCTCTCTCTTTGCTTTGTTGATTTCAACACACATTTTCTTCTCTTTCCAGGTGGCACTATGCAGCATTCGGTAAGAACTCGTAGGGTGGATTTGGTATCGATTCAAAATTGGTTCTTTCGTAGTTAATTTTTAAACTCGCTAAAGAACCGCTTCAGATATGGAAATTTGAGATCCAGTAATCAATACAGGAAGCATCGGCTTACTGATAGGGTAGATTTGGTTCCGATTAAACCATTGATTCCTTCACAAATTTAACTGAAATTTTTAAACTTTGGGCGGCTTTGTATTTTTACATCAAGCTCATTTGAAGCTTGTCTTCAAAGAACCGTTTCGGATCTGCAAATATGGGTTCCAGTTTTATGTTTTTTGTTAATGCCATTGCAGAACTATAAAAGTCAATAGTTTTAGTTTTGTCTGTTTTTTTTATGGCGAAATCGACTGAAACATGACGCCACCTTTTTTAACCCTGCTCAATAATCTTTTGAGTTACAGAGTTCGTTTTTATCGTTTTTTATCATTGATAGAGAATTGGTAACTTGATTCAGTTATAACAACGTGCGTGAGTAAACTCTAGTGGATTTGTCACAAAAGTCACACGAAATTTGAATATCAGACATTTAAGCGCAAGTAGCGCAAGACGCCAAGACTTTTTTTTTTCTCCGGTGAGGTTTGGGAAATGCTCTTTTATGCACTCCCAGAGCTGGTGGTCTGTCGCGCTGGTATGTGTGGGACTCCAGCTAAGCTGTTTACCCACTAAAACCCTTTCCTCACCGCCGAGGTGGTGTTTGGCCTCGCACCGCGGTCATTTCTG